AGAGATGAGGCCCTGGGAGCTGAGGGAAAAGCTAATTGAAGAAGGACACTGCAAACCTGGGGGCGTGGGAAGGGAGGAGGGAGGAGCAGAGTGGGGAAGAGGACACATGGATGGGAGGAGAGGGGAGCACAGCATGTCACAAAGAACATCAGAGCCACAAGGGATACCCGCTGATACCCCGTTCTCTTTAGTCCTTTTACATCTAAGGACACTGAGGCCAGAGTAACCACAAGGTCTTTGCAATTCAAAGCAGGTGTCCCATCAGGAGATCACCCTGACTGTCAGCCTGAAGCTCCTTTCACTACAAGAAATTCACCGTGTAGTGCCAAAACCACACAGGCCACATGCAGGGAGCCAGCAAGGGGAGACAAACCAGAGGAAGTGTGGGAGGGGAAAGGAGGAGCCAGTGCCGGCAGGAAGTCATGACTGGCATGTGGGTTTCTCTGGGAGGGAAACTGAGGTTGGTGAGGTGGAAAGTCAGAGGGCTGAGTGAGATCACATGGGGCGGGCAGCTCACATCTGAGTTCTGGGCAAAGCTGGGTGTAGAAGGAGAAATTCAGGAGTAGTGGTGGTGTGCAGGGGAGCAATGTCTAGCATGTTAGGAAGAACACAAGCAAGCTGGTAGCCTAAGCAGCAATGATCCAAGAAGAGAAATTGAAAGGTGGGTTTAGTGATAAAGAAATGTGTCCTGGATGACCCTATGGTGGCTGGGACGCCCTGCATGGCTGAATTCTAATTGGCATCTACTTTACTCACACTGGCTTATCCCCATGTTTTCCTGTGACCTGGGAGCACACTATTTTCTGGTTCTGGTCACTTCCCACCTATTTTATTTCTTGACCTTTTCCTACAGTGTTGTTCTCTCTCAGCTCCCTCAGCTCTGAGCACCCCCCAGGCAGCTCCCAATGGTCTCCATCCTTTCTTCTGTCCTCATCAGATCTTGTCTTTCACCCTCCACAGCTGAGAGCTCACTGAGGGGTGCAGTGGACTGGGGAGCTGCAGATCCTCAGTGGGACTCTGACCCAAGCACCAGGTGCTACCTGCATCCTCACCAGGAGCCACTCTTCCAGGGGAAAGTTGAGGGGAAGAAACTTTGAATTCTTCTTTCCCTCCCTTTATGCTTCCCTTGTTATGGTTTAGGTATGAGGTGTCCCCCAAATGCTCATGTGTGAGGCAGTGCAGAAGATTTGGAAGTGAAATGACTGGGTCTTGAGAGCCTTAACCCAATTAGTAAGTTAATCCTTTGATAAAGATTAACTGAGTGTAACTGTGGGCTGGTAGATGTGGCTGGGGAGGTGGGTTCCTGAGGATGTGACTATGGAGCATATATTTTGTCCTTGATGAATGGAGCGCTCTCTCTCTCTCTCTCTCTCTCTCTCTCTCTCTCTCTCTCTCTCTCTCTCTCTCTCCTTGGTGGCCATGTTCAGACCTGCTTTCCTCTGCCACACTCTTCTGCTGTGATGTCCTGCCTCACCTTGTGCCCTGAGGAGTGCAGTTGACCATCTATGGACTAAGAGCTCTGAAACAGAGACCCAAAATATACTTTTCCTTCTTTAAATTTTTCTTGTCATGTCCTTTGATCTCAGAGGCAAAAATGCTCACTAAAACACCCCTCTTTCTCCTTCTCTTGCATCTGTTAAATCCATCGTTTCTCTTATCAGCTCACAACTTTTTGGTCCCAGAACCTCATTCCTTATTTAGTTAATTTTCTTTGCTCTCTTTCCTGTCCAACTGCAACTACCTTCTCCTTGATTTTGTCATCCCACACTGAAGAGCAGCAGTCATATATTTTGTGGGATCCAGGGAAAAATGAAAATGTAAAGTCTTCTCTTAGTCATTCATGTTAATATCACAGAATACCATAGACTGGGTGGCTTATAACCACTAAAAATTATTTTTCACATTTCTGAGTCTGGAAAGTCCAGGGTCAAGGTAGATTTAGTTTGTATTGAGACCTGCATTTTGGTTCATCAAAGACACCTTCAAAATATTTTCACATCATAGAAGGTTTATTTGGTCTCTCTGAGGTTCCCTTTATAAGGCACAAGTCTCATTTCTGAGGTGGAGACAGCATGACCTAATCACCTCTCTAAGGCCCCACCTCCTAATACGATCACATGGGTGGTTAGGATTCCAGTATATGAATTTGGGGAAGACATAAAGATTCAGAACATAGGAGGTTTGTGCTCAAAAATCAGGGGAGGGAGTACTTTTAAAGGTACTAAAATATAAAACTTCTTATTTCAAGGAAAGGTTATGTTTCTGTGTTTTTATTTGACTTGCTAATGTTATGTCCCTTGGCCACAAGGATATTTACAGGACAATTGCAGGAGCACTTAGACACTAGGGTGTCCTAGTCCATGACTACAAGCAAGCTTCCCTGCCTGGTACCTGCTACCCCAGCTGCTCAAATGATCCTTACCCTGGGTGAACTGAAGTGGAAATTTGAACTCACCCTCCTCACACTTGGTGGGGCGGGGGGCGGGGGGGGGGGTGATGAGCACAGAGAAATTGCAAAAAAATTACATGGAGATGAATTTGGTCCTTGGAATAAGTGTGGACAAGTTACAAAATGACTTGGTGCGGACTTTAGATGCTATGGCTGTCCCTGTGTTCTGCCCACACACTGTTGGGTGCATGTCCCATTCTCCCTTTGTGCCTGCAAGGCATGAGACAGTGCCTGAGGCTGATGGCAGATGGGGCCTTCAGAGAGACATGGTCAGTGCAGTGGTGGCAGGATGGAGGTGGATAGGAAGAGTGTAGAGTTACCAGGGCCCCAGACAGTGAGGAGCAGGTGGAAGGGTGCTGCACCTGTGGGTGAGGTTGTGGGAGGAAGAACCCTACAGAAGCTGGGGAGGCTCTTTGAGCTCCCATAGAAGTTTCACTGAACTTTGCTTATGAAACACAAAATCAATAAAATTACTTTAAAATTCAAGGTGGTGATCATGGAGCAGTAAGTGTATTACTGGACTGGCTGCATGTCTCCCAGAGCTAGCCTTGGATACAGGATCCACAGACTAATTAGTTGATACTGGTGTGGAGGACAATCCAAAGTGATTCTGAAGAAGTAAATAAAGTAACCAGTGATGTCAGCGACATGAAGATGGTGGAGTGAGGGATGGGGTAGGGAAGAGAACACAAGGGGGATAATTCAAAATTATTCAATAACTCAAAATGCTGATGATCCTGGAATCAATACCCGGCACTGAAGGAAGAAGAGTGCCTAGTGGTAAGGTGACTTTTCAGTGCCACGTAAAAGTTGTTGTATAGAAGTTGAAATAGGGGAAGATGACCAGGAAGGAATTTCATAACAATGAGAGAAGTTGGAAGATTGGGCAGAGACTCAGAAGAGCAGGGGAAATGGGATACTGAGTAGGTGGTCAGGGTTTGGGGTGGAAGCAGATTTTCAGGCAGGAGAGGTCTGTCTGTTGGTTGAATAAGGAAGTCAGAAGAGAGGTCTGTGGGGTAGGTTTGTTTAGAACAGAAATCAAAGGCCAACTTTTCTTAAGAGAAAGAAGTAGCATCTGCAAATGCCATGATGTCTCTGCTACTCCCCTTGCTAGCTGCTCTCTTCCCAGTAGGTGACAGTGAATTTGGTAAGAATTGTGGCAAGAGATCGTTAGGGGCAAGTGTGTGTGTGTGTGTGTGTGTGTGTGTGTGTGTGTGGTGATGGTAGTTTCCCCTGCACACACCTGGAGAGAATGAGTGCCAAGCTGGCCCCATTCTGTGTGTCCTTACTCAAGCCCTCTGTGCTCTCATGGAAGTTGGTGGTAGAGCATGGGACCCTGGGGGCCAGCAGATGTCAGCTAATGTAACGGTGGCTCTCCACTTTTCCAGACTCTGAGTCTTCCCACTCTGGCATCTTTCTTTTCCTAATCTCTCCCTCCCAATGCCACATTTCCCCACATTCTATCTATTCTTCATCACAGGGTTTGAGGAGCCTGTCTCCTACCATCTCCTCCAGACGTCATCCTTTCACAACCATTCCTGGGTACATGTGGGCTCAGGCTGTTTGGGGGAGCTGCAGACTCACAGATGGAACAGCATCTCTCATACCTTCATTTACCTGTATCCCTGGTCCAGGGGCAATTTCAGTAACAGGGAGTTGGAGGATCTGGAAAGGTTTTTTTGGGTAAACATCATTGAAATTCAGGAATTTTACACTGACCACTTGATGTCTGAAGGTGAGTTTAGTTCCATTGCTGGGGAGAAGAAAGGTAAGGGGGGGGGTGCCTCGGTGAGCTTTTTGATCTGTGGTGCTGGGGATTGACCTTGTGCATGTGAGGCAAGCTCTCTATAAACTGAGCTGTATCCTCAGCCCTCAGTGAACTTCTTATTCCTGTAGTAAACAGCCTACGCTGTTCCGAATCTTACTTCACTCTCTTCAGCATAAAACTGAAACCACACCCTGGGAAAGTGCTATATACCAGAACCCAATTCTTCAAAAACTTCAGTTTTTGCCACTTATGAACTGCTCCCTCATTGCCTGCAAGGTTGTGTGCTATTATCTCCCTCAGAGGCATCCTGTGGCCACACTTTTCCCCAGTAATCAGCCAGGTGCCTTCAGCATCCTCATTCGTTGGTTGACTCCTTAAAGTGTGACTTTCTCTCCCATTTCATTCTTCAGTCATCCCCATCTAAACTGCTATGGTTACCATGGATACGTTCACCCTGGTTAGTTAGAATCTCAGCTCTCTCACATTAAGTGCCTCGCCCCCCACACCATCGCTATCACCTTTGAACAATCCCCTCCCTTCCTCATATTATCATCTCTTCCTCCACCTCCAGCTTCTACCAATTCCCCTTTCTGTGAAACTTGGACCAAACCACACTGGGGTCCTTCCCTTAAACTCCCCAAACTCCCTTCAGCTTTTATAGTCTTTTGCTTCCATCTCATTCCATTTTCTTTTTCTTCCTTTTCTCCTCTAATTCACTACTTTTCTTCCCCAGATCCAGTTGATCTATAGATGGCAACAGGCTGTGAACTGCACTCTGGGAAGGGCTTCATAAGCTTCCTGCGTGTAGCTATCCAAGGATATGATTTCCTCATCTTCCAGAATGAAGCATGGTCACCATCTCCAAAGGGTGAAAGAGAGGCCTAGAAAGCCTGCAGAATACTCAATCAGAGCCAAGACAACAAATAGGGTACATTGGCTCCTCAGCGACAACTGTCCACATTTCACTTTGGGTCTTCTGGATGCAGGGAAGACTCATCTTCAGCGACAAGGTCAGTCTTGTATCCTGCTGAGAGCCACGGCCGAGTCTGTATGGCCCCTGGCATTTTGCCAACAGTATTGATTGACAGGCGAGGCATTACTATCCGCCTCTGCTGCAACTTTTGAGTTCTCGCACTATTTTGGAGTTCTCCTGGGGATTTCCCGGGATTCCCCCGAGAGTTCCCATTGGTTGGGGAAGTGCAGGAGGAGGGATTTCCGGGAGAGATATTTCCAGCTGGGGGTTCCTGGACAAGCCTCGTGGCGTTCGGGAGGATTCCCCGGGAGCTGTGTGAAGTGTTTTCCTGCAGTTTAAAAATAAAGTTTGTTCCTGCTTCAGTGGCTCGTGATTTGTGCCCAGCCAGACTGCGGCACCAGATCCCAAATTCTTTTTAGAAAACAAATATACTAATCCAAGGAATGAAAGAATTAATAATAAGGAATTTGCAGATGCAAAAATATGGAAGATAGATGATGGATTCATCTGTGTAAAGGAATAAGATAAAAATAAGAAGAAATTTGGTGAGGTAGAAACTCAAGGAAAATAGCACAGGTCAAGACAGAAAACAGGGAGTGCATGGGGTAAAATGGGGAATGGGTTGGAAACAACATCCTGGTGTCCACTTGAATCTGCAGCACCTCATAGTGCCCTGGGCTGGATCCTTTCAGCTGTGATAGTGGCCCTGGCTCTTCTGACAGGTCTTGGATTTTGGTTTAGGAAGCGCTGGTGAGTTCTTTGTATCCATCTTTCCTGTTCATCCCTCCTCCCCAATGGTCTTCCCTTCTTTTTTGACTTTTTCCCCATTTTTCTTCTCTTCTCAACCCCATTCCTATTTTCTGCTCAGTTCTCACCTCCACCTTATGAAGGTCTGTTATTTCTCTGTTCTCATTTGGTTCACTTAGGACACATTGTGAAGCTCTCTACAGTGCTGTCCCTTTGAAGTGAGGACCCAGCTACCCAGGTGCCCAGTCTACACCTGAACACCACATTATGATGACATCACTTCAACTCTTCTTGTGAAACCTTTGTAATTTATCTGGTTCATGATTAATTACCAATATATGCTCAATGTAATTGTGCAGGATATTTTCTTCAGACCTGGCTTCTGTGAATTTACCTCTGAACGAAATAATATCCTAGCAAGCTCCACCTGGTTAGATATAATAGATCATCAGATGCATTTTAAATGTCACATCCTCCATGGTCTTTCCTTGATTCACTGTTGGAAGCCATCTCTCCTCCATCTTTGCTTCCCTACATTTAAACTGTAGCCCTGACACCCTAGCCTCTATGGCAATTGTGTAGCTTTTAAATTTTTAGAAATTTGAGAACAAAGCACATGCTTTTAAAATATCTGTAATCATGGTAAAGTGTCTAGTCTGCATGGAACATGTTCTCAATAAAAACCTGTGTTGAATTTATGTAAGGTTTTCAGGGTTTTTTTTTTTTTTAATTGTCTGCCTTCTTGACACCTGTGTTGTAGTTGAGACTTTTTAAATTTTTTTATTTGTTTTGTTTTAAACCATTATGCACGACAGTAGAATGCATTTATGTACTTTGATATATTAAACATAGGTGGGATATAATTTCTCATTTTTCTGAGTGTAGATGTTGGAGAATGTGTGAAAAAATGTGTCACTGGATAGGCCACAGAAAGGATGCCCATCCTGAAGCAAGAAGTGAAACCCGAAGACAGAGCATCATTTTCTTTTTTTTTTTAACTTTCATGGGGAATGTGTTCTTCATTTGACTCCCATTTTACACCATTCTGTACATATGTAGGAATGACTGCAAAAGCACTGTGAATACTTAATATGGGGTTATAAATAAATTTCTATGGCTAGACAAATTAGAAATTCAGAAATCTTGACTAATGGGGATTGACTAATGACCCTAACTGACAGTGTGAGTTAAGCCATCCATAATCAAACTTCATTTACTTTACAATTAATAAATTGATTCAAGGAACAGTTCTTAGGCACCTATTGCACATTTACTATGCAGCAGTTGCATACTGAGCATAAAGTAATGGAAGGAAAAAAGATCTCTATGTTCTGAAAATTTCGCCTACCCAACTTGATTCTGCAGTTTATTATTTTGATTATTTCTCTCTCAGATTCCTGGTAGAGTACCTTACTTGAAGTGAACTTGGGGAAGGGGAGTTAGCTTTATTTTGCTTAGGCAGCTGAGAAGAGGGGGCCCAGGGCAAGGGGACCATCTGGAGGGATCAGGTACAAGTGAAGGCATGTGTAAGAAAATTTCCCATGGATTTTTCTCCTGAAAAATTTATTCATGCATTCATTTGTCCTTCCTTCATTCATCACAATCTAGCTTTTAAGATTTGTTTGCCAAACGCTAAACTGAAAGTGCTTCCTGAATAGAGGAAAATAGTTGGAAATAAAGTTGGGATGAGAGCAGAGGACAAGTGTGACAGCTGAAGTCTTTTTACTCTTATTGGCCATGATTGGCTACAATCCATATAGCTTCCAATCCACTTTTCCACATTTATATGGCAACAATGTGATTTCAGTTGACTGATTTCACTCTCAGCCATGATGCTCAGCCCAAGGCAATCATGAGGTCCCATTCTTGACAATGTAATAGGCTAAAGAATGAACAGGTAACCTATAAGACAGACATCATATAGATCCATCTACATTTGCTTGAAGACATGAGCCAGTGTATGCACCTGTCCTAATGTGGCTGGCTGAGTCTGTATGCAGCCTGATCTTCATGTTTGGTGGTAAGTGAAAGAGATGCTCTCTCTTGTTCCAGATGTTGTCCTGCTGGGTATCGTAAATCACTCATGTTACTTTTTCAGTCCCAGGAAGACAAGTTTGTGTATGAAATCATACAGACAAGAAGATAGAGGTAACAAAGTCACAGAAGAGTCCAGATTAACTGGAATCAAAGCCTGAATGACCCTCGATTTCTCAGTTCTATTGGCCAACATGTTTTGTTGTGGTCATAAAATTGGGTGTCCTCTTGTTGGAGACTGAAAGCATCCTGCTTGCTGCAGGTAGACACCAGGGAACTCAGCTGAGCTCTACTTTTGGTTGCAACATTGTTTTACTTCTGTCTTCCTCCTCCTTTCTTCCTGAAATTGGCTATTCTTTAAAACTAATATCTTTTTTATTTTTTTTTAAACTACAAGTCCTTGTCTTGTTAAACTTTTATATATATATTTTTTTATTTTAACTCTGGCATGTGATTCTGTCCCTCTCTGGGATGCTTCATGAATTTTTGTCAAACCACTGACCAGGAACAAAAGTGGTGGTTATGCTCTTGGGGAAGTGAGTGATTTTAAAGGTCTCCCCCATTCTTCAGTTAAATGAAGGCACAATATTTTCTGTTAGTTCTTTGAGGGATGGAAGGTTCATCTTGCTCTAGCATTATTACAAAGATTAAAAATTTACAAAATAAACAATGTATGTGAATAAGCCACTCACAGGTGAAAATCCCTAAAGATAAAAGCATATGAATGTTATTCAAATGCCCATGTAATTAGAGAAATGAAAACTAAAAGAAAGTATCACTTTATATTACCAACTAGGGAAACTTAAAGCCAGAGAAATCCAGCGCTTGCAGGAATGGGGATGTGCTGATGGTGTGAAGTGATTCTGGAGAGCTTGTGGCTTTGCCTATCTAAGAATGTACATATTGACCTTGAAATCCTATTTTTGAACATAATGTCTCCACAGTTCCATGAAGGAACACATTCAATGATGTTTATCACAAAAGTTTAATGGCCAAGCAATGTTAGAGGCATAGCAGGTATGTTTACCCTATGGGAACACATTAGTGAAATGTGATATATGTACATTATGGCATGCTGTGTAGAGGGGAGATACAGGCTAGACATAAAGTGATATGAGAAGGTTTTTAAGAAAATGCTGAATGAAATGCATTATGCATGAAGCATAGTTTACAATTTTTGTTATAATTCAATTTGTACACCAAAAGCAACTCATTTTAGAAGAACACAGGTATAGAAGAATGATGCATGATTATGTTAGAATGAGAGGGAAAGTAAAATGTGGGGATAAAGAAATAAATAATTTGGGGCTGGAGTTGTATGTAGCTCAGTGGTAGAGCACATGCCTCATACAAGTGAGGCACTGGGTTCTATTCCTAGCACCACATATAAATAAGCAAATAAAATAAAGGTCCATCAACAACTAAAATACACACACACACCATATATATATATATATATATATATATATATATATATATATATGAAATAAATACTTTGGTCAGTTAAATAATAGAAGGGAGGGGAGATAGAAAAAGAAAAGAAGAAAAGATAGTGGAATGAATCTGACATAATTTTCCTATGTACATATATGAATAAACCACAGTGAATCTCACCATCATGCATATCCACAAGACTGGGGTCCTAACTAAAAATAAAGTATATTCCATACTTGTATAATTATATCAAAATGCATTCTACTGTCATGTATAACTAAAAAGAACTATAAATAATGAGAAAAGAGCATGATTAGAGTGAATGATACTCATGAGCCATAAACAATTAACTCAACAATCAGTCAATAAGATTCCAAAGACAGAGCACAATGCATCAAAAAATTGGAAAATAATTATGCTCTGTAGAAAAGAGAGTGAACTGGAATAATATAAAGTAGAAAAAAGTTCTGTTTTCTCAATGGTGGCAGTAGCATGGAAACAATGTTTTGGCAACCTTATAACTTAAAAATATGAAGATTTAGTCCTTCAAACAGCTTATAATGATCAGTTAGCTTACAAATCCATTCTTTAATTTATAATAACATAGTTTCAAAAGTGATTGAAAATTACCTACAAAAATATGTACATAATATTAAAATATATCATTAATAATATAAGAATAAAGTTCAGGGGAATATACTCCCAATAAAATACAGAGAAAACTTAAAAATCTAGGCCTAGACCTCAACCACTGGTTGTTTGTGGGTCACAAATCATTAGTATACTATAAACGATTAAGACAGGCTTCTTCACATATTCACAGAGTCCTCAAGAAATAGACAATGAGTTGTTCAGGAGAAATGCCCTGGTCTTGAGGCCATATGGAAAATTTTCTCTTCAGCTATTGTACAGGAGAAAGTATTTGGTACAATGAAGAACATTCTCAGGAGAGTTGCTTCAGTAAATTTTATGAGATTCATAGTACTGTGTGGTATTATATCTTAAAGAATATGATTTTATTAGCCTGCAGTAAGAATTAGGAAAAGTAATTTTATACAACACAACTAGACCTGGACCTGGGATACAACTATCTGCTTTTTTGGCAAAATTAAGGGTAGATCTCTTAAGTCACCTAATCTAATATGTAAACTCCAAAATACCCTGTTTAACTAACTTAAATTATTTTTATCCAACAGAACTGTTAGATTATATATTCAAACCTATTCATCTTTGTGTACAGTGTGCATTTAACATGTACATATTTTAGGCAAAAATATTTAAAACAGGTGTGAACCCCAATATAGTCATAACATGTATTCAACAAACAAACAAACAAACATACATACATAGGTCTTTGAATCATTATTTTCAGATTGCCTGTTCAAATGAAACTGTTTACCAACTGTATACTATGTATCTAAATGGGTAATCGGCTTGGGAAAAATGGGGTTATGTGCCAGAGACCACTGGTTGTCTCCCAGAATCTGTTTTCCACTTCCTCTAGAATAAATCATCCACTACTTTCCAAATATTATCTGGGATGAATAAAGCTAGTTTTCTCTTTCAATCAAATAGAAAAAAAAAATCTTTCAACTTGTTATGGTCACATGGCTTCAGTCTGATCTGTGGAGTGTGTAACTGTTAAAAAGTGCATCTGAAGACAGTGAGTTGGGTGTATTCAGCACATCTGATTCTCCGTATTTCTTTGGAGAATTTCCTGGAAGCAAGAAATGACTTTGGAAATGTGGACCAAGATTGGTAAAAACCAAAACAAAATGAAACAAAATTGAAAAATAAAAACATCCCCAAACAAAAAAGAAAGCTAGGAAACAAATTTCTGAGGCCATGGAATGCCCTAAACAGCTTTCTTACTTATTTCTAGT